TGTGTGTGTGAGTGGTGATATTTGTATGTGTTTTAGTGTGTGTGTGTGTGTGTGAGAGAGAGAGAGAGAGAGAGAGAGAGAGAGAGATGGTGTAGGGTCCACATTAGATGAGTTGTAATCTTTGCGATGACCATTATACTTTTAATTTGTGGTAAATCGCACATATTTAACCATAGAAGATCCAAGTATTTACCATAATTTCATAATATATTTGACTAACTTTATTAAAGTTACTTAATCATGACCATTAATTTGATGGATCCAATGGTCCAAATTCATTCTAATTTCTTTCAATATCTCCTATTTTCAATGGATGCGACTTCTATAGGGATAAATGTCAAATATGCATTAGGACTTCTCTCCATTTTTTTATTTTTTAAGATATTTTTTGTTCATAGGTGTTGTACTAGTGCATCACTATATTCAATTCCACTATTATTTATGCTATAATGTTGGCCTCTAAGATGAAAGTTAATTCTCTTCTTAATCCAGTAGCACAGCTATTAAAGTTCACATCATTGTATTCAGTTTCACTATTATGTACTATAACGTTTGCCTCTAAGATGAAAGTGAATTTTTCTACTTAATCCAGTTGCAGCCATTACAGTTCACATCAGCACACATCCATGAACTTCCATCCCAAAAGTAAACAAAAGCTGCACTGAGCTTTCATAAGTCATCCAAGTCCTCATATCATATCATTAATCAAAGTCCAAATTTTGTTTTCTTGTTTTTTTGTTTTCAGATGTGTGAATCAGATCAAATCTAAAGTTTAAGTGCACAACAAAACTTTAACCTAAACATATCCCGACAAAATACTTCTCAAAGCTTGGGGACAGTTACGACTTCCGAATTCTCACTAGATTTCTATATCCCGTCAATGACTTCGAGAAGGTCATCAACTTCCTGTCTCAAGAGTGTAATCTTCTGCTGCACAGCTGCAATACGGTTGTCGATATCCTTACCACCGCCCGATTTTTTCTCATAAGCATCAACCACAATTGAGTGTTTCAACATCAGCTTTTCTTGCAACTCTCTCTCCTTGGTCACCAACTCCTCAACCTGCATCATCATCATCACATCACATACAAATTGAAAATAATAAACAAATTCATGCAGGCTATTGATGAACCATAAAAAATTCTGAACTATTGCTCCGTATAGGTGTAGGTTAATTTTGTAAAAGTGGTATATTTATGCTTTTCTCATATATTAGTAGGGTTATGTGAGGTCTTTCGTGTTTATAACAAGTCCCGGATATAAAAATCTGCGGACAAAAGTTAAGTGAATGACAAACTTTTTCAAATTTACAGATATCCTCGCACAGTTTTCAGGTTTGTACTTGCCCAACAAATAGATATCTACGCTAAATAAGTCTAACTACTAAGTTAGGATTTAGAACGGTTCTTACATGGGTAACGGGTTTGGCCACAACAAAAAGCTCTCTTAATTTGGAGATAGTTACAAACATTACCATCAAGTTTACATAAATACTCAACTTCTCGTTACCTTCCAATTGACAAATACCCTCTCAAAGTTTTTCAGGTTTGTATTTAATACCAGACTTACTGAAATTTTAGTTTGTGAAAGAGAGACAAATGTCAAAAGAGTATGTCTAATTTGATCGATAATTCTTTCTCACTTTTTCCCTGCTAAACGGTAGTTTTTATAATTAATTAACCCATGTTCCAAGTTCAACTTTACATTGTGAAAGGAATACGTTCCGCAGACAAGCCTACCATATTTCAAAATTGTAAAAATATATCTCACGGTCTGTCTTACAAAATTGCACCCTCATGAGGGAGGTATTTAGGGTGTGATTGATTTATGAACTTAACCAGAAAAGAATCAATCAAAACTCAAATTTAACTCAATTTTAACACAACTCCACTATCATCAATTATCAATATAATTAAATAATATCAACCAATTGTTCTTACACATCACATCAACTTTAATTCACTATTCATCCACTCAAATAATCTTAACTAACCATCAATTTCAATCATTTTTCTCCTACTTTTACATCAAATCAACTTTATTTATTTTATTTTAAATAATATTTTAATGTAAACTTCAATTTCCACTAACAACTAACTATATCATCTTTTTATAAATTAACTATGGTTAAAAAAACCAATCAAATCCATATCCAATCACACCCTTAAAATTTCAGAAGAAACAACTGTCTTCCTTTCTTCTCATAGTTAATTTAACCTCTTATGTCGGTCAGTATTTCTTGAGACTATCCGTTTCTAACAAGATATGTATGAGTTACCAGAAAGTGAAGACAGGACAACTCATGCACCTAAAAATATTATACAGCAAGTGAAATGCATACCTTGGGTGTTATATTAGCTGCCTGTGGAGAAGATTGCAAAAATGACACCAAGGGTTTCAACTCTTTTGAGAGCTCCTTGAGCAAACTGTCAGCAGATTTTCGTGCCGATTTGCAAGTCAGAACATCACCAGTCCTCGAGAGTTCACGCAATGATGCTTCCAGCTTGTCATGAACAATCAAACACCGGTTCATGATACTCTGAAACTGCTGGATTACACTTTGGACCTGTGAAAAATAATACCAGGAAAATCAATTCAATTTTTCTTTGGTTAATGTGAATTTACAATTTGTATTTAACTGAAACTGTGAGAGAATGTCACTGACTCTACTTACCTCATCCCACTGAAGTTTAGTTAAATAAGAAGGTGAAGACTTTGAGATGGTGAAGTCTGCATGCGTGTATACCACGCATGCGACGAAGAAGAGGAAAAATCCAAACATCAACATTAGTGGCTCCCTCAGGAGGGAAATATTGCTGAATTTGTAGTAGACCTGATAAAAAACACAAAAATGGTTAGATTTTTCTGTTCTTTTTGAAGAAGAAAAGAAGTGAGATGGGTAGTGTTACTGTAAACTGACAAAAGATACTGAAAATCTAGGAGCATCTGCATGAAAGACATTTAAGTCATGCAACATGTGGGTTGAAAGGGATGTCCAATTTGCAACTTTGGCAAACCAAGTTGAATGTGGCAATGATGCCCCACATAAATCATCAATAAGTTTTACCCACTAGAGCATTGCACAAACGGAACATATACAAACTATACTAAAATTAAGCCATATTGCAATGTTCAATATATTCAACACTTTGCCTCCGGAATGATACACCATAAGATTTTTAAGGGGGCATAAAGTAAATTACTAGAAAAAGAAAGGTGAGGATGTCTGCTTAAGCTGAATGTTAAAGGGCTGGAAAAAAGTGATATCAGGAAAAAAGAAAGTGTATCTATGCTCAGATTGTATGTTAAGGAAAAATGAAAATAAATTCCTTTGCCTGTGGAATATAAAATGAAACTCTAACTGCTTTTGAATGATAAAGAAAATAGCTACGGTGCTATCTACTTATCCGGTCTTAATTCTGATACTTCTCTCATTTGCATACTCCCCTCCCATAATAGGCCAAGGCACAGCCCACTGGTTGAAAGTAATCAGATAGATAACTCGCATTTCAAGTGAGTCTCTATTATAGCTCATGCAGAAGCAAATTGCTAACATTGGTACTAAAACTGTTCTTATTAAATAGTACTTGTAATAACAATAAAAACAGTGCTTAGAAAAGAATAAGAAGTTATCCTTATTGTTTAATAACAATTTCTTCCTTTCCACAAGTCGGAGAAGTTACCTACTTTGAAATTCTCAAACATAAAAATGTCTTTGCGGTGTGTATAATTTTTTTCAAGCTCAAGCAATACATTTTGCACAAAATGAAAGAGAGTTCTATCAGTGATGAAGAGAACACTTCTATTCAATCTATTATCTTCGATTCTAGCATCCTATAATGGACAGCTTCAGTTGGAGTTAGTGTTCCCCTTGTAGTTTAAAGAGAAGTAAACTTCTTCATTCAATGGAATTTAGTTCTTCATATAATAACAGAACTCCCATCTACATGGGAAGGTTACAAAAATTGAAATGCAGAAAGTACCTGAAAGTACTGATTATGCTCTGACACAACATTTGTCTTTTCCAGTACAATGACTGGTCTGCCAACCATATCCAAATGAGAAAATTTTGTCTGCACTAGCTCATAAGAACAATAGATAAGAAAGAATGCACAAGTACACAGATGCTAATAAATAGTTTTTTTTAAGATGCAATTCATAGTTCAGTTATTAGTCATACCTCTTGAGATTGTTTGACAGGAAATGGAACAGAAACAGAAATATCCTTCGACCCCTCCGGTAAAACAATCTGAAATTGGAGAATCCAAACATGATATTATAGCAAATCTTCAAGTACGAAGGGGAAGAATATAAATTTAACACTGGAGCAGTAGACACAAAACACATCAAATATTAGGAGAATCATTTTATGACACATAATCATTGCCGCAATTAATGAACAGTTGAAATTTAATAGCTATACATCTGACTAATAAAAAATTTGAACAGATTAATGCACATAAGGGAGGGAAAAAAAAA